GAATTTGGAATGACATATTAAAGAAGATATTACTACCAAAACAACCAGGGGAAAACGTTTCATTTTCTGGTAAGAAAGATATAGCTGACTTACTTCTCCATAACCGCAGCTACGGATGGAATTCCCAACTTTCATCACCAGGTCATATACTTCTTGGTAAGTTAGCCACTTGTACTTGCCAGCCTATAAAGGGACATAAGAAAATATGCATTTAAGTCGGGCAAAAGCCACAAGTGGTCAAACAATTGCAAGAAAATTTCCAGAACACCAGACCTAGAAAGTACACGAGACTTTACCTTCCCATCAACAATTTCACGGCGACCAAGCATCGGATTTGTTGGATACTTCTCAACAGACAATCTGTAAATGTACCACACATTCAGAACTGAGTTGACTAATATTTTATCAACACAAGCACTAAGTTCTGTTGAATACAATAGAAAGCCAGTTAAATTTTCACATGCTGTGGCTTTGAGACCTAAATCAAGTGAAATTAAACCGTATACACAAGTCCTCTTCACAGAAATCAAAAGTTCAACAACATATTATTCTAATGTTGAAAAAAACTGGAGAATCTAAATAACATGCTCTTATTTGAGAAATCATAGCTTTCACAGTCCGAAAAACATAGTTCCAATTGAAATTCCACCTCACTTGACAGTCCGATACAGATGAGAGAGCTCTGCTTGACAAGTTAGCATAATAATCGAAGAAATAAAACAAACAAAAAATTATAAAAAAAATGCATCCGAATTGCACACATTCAGTGGAGTAAAATCTACAGAAATGAACGAAAAAAGGAACGCTCATTGCTTCAAAAGCTCGTGCTGGAGTATGAACTATCATAATCAAATCCAGATTCCAGAGCACGTATCCATGAAATTAAGTGAAGAGAATGGATCCGACATTAGCATCGTAATTGAAAGAAGAGAGTGAGAAGGTATGAAATCGAAGCGACAGCCTCACCGAAAAACATCCCAGCAGCTATCAAGACCTTCAATAGGAGCAGGGAATCCATCCTTGGCGAAGATGCTACGGTACACAGGACCTCTGGATGGCCTTCCTTCGCTGGCCTCCTTTGCTTTCTCGACCTCAATGATGAACCTCTTCTGAGCCATTGCTGTGACTGTGATTATACCTCTCTGATTCCGATTGAGGAACAGTCACGATAATATCGAAGTGAAAAGTGCTTTCGGAATTGGAACGGAGAATGAAGGTAGCAAAAGGGAAGAGAATATAAGGAGAGACTTATAACGTTAAGTTGGGTAAACTGCGTGACTTGTGCGAATGCCGGTTTTGACTTGGATACAGGGGAAGGGAGAATAGTGTGGTTGAGAACCTGGCTCTGCCTATAGCGTTGTCGTTACTTCGTTTCTAAATAAATAGACTTTTAAAAGAATTAGGTTTGGATTGGTCAACAAATTCTGAATCCATTGTTCCTTTTTTTTTTCTATAAAAAAAATAAAATAAAATTGACAGCGATACTTCAAAAAAAAATTTATCCCTTAAAAATAAGGTAATGTTTCAATCTGTTCATATCAAATCTTCAAAATTCATAAGAAAAATTAAATTTCGAATAAATATGTTTGCACGACGGGAAAAAGGAATAAATATGTTTGAAATTATTTAGGTTTTGTATTCATCATTTAATTAGATTGGTGTTGTTTTAAAGTTAGTCAAGCATCTATTTTTTTCCATCTTATCATAAAATGTGTCAATTAAATAAATTACAAATATATCAATTTAAAAGATAAGTGTAATTGTTATTAATTCAAATTTAATTAAGATTATAATTAATTTGTTTAAAAACTATCCTAAAAGAGTTCAATCATTGTTAAGTATAAATTTTACATTGCATGACACTCTTTAGAATGATATTTATTGAAGAATAATTTTCGAATGAAACAATAGATAAAAGGATAAAAGTGTTTTCCAGAAGTGTAGTAGAAATTTTATATATTGCATGACATTTTTTAAAATGATATTGATCAAATGAATAATTTTTGGATGAAATGAGTAGACAAAAAGGATAAGAGCCTTTACTTAACATTAAATTTGCTTCGTGTTCTCATTTGTTTTAGAAAGAAAAACATTAGTAACACAATTTTCTTAACACACTTTTAATTCTTATTTAAAATTTATTAAAAATTATAAAATTATGTAGATTTTGCTCTTTTTCACTCTTAATTTAATGTTTCTCTTATAACTTTTTAGTGTTTAAAAATTTTTAATTAATAGTGAGAAGTATATTAACTAATAAAAAAGTAAAAGTATAACTATTATTTTTCTATATACTTAATTCAAATTATAAATTAGTTTGTTTAAAATTCATATTAAATACATCCTTATCTTCTTACTTTATACTATTTAAAGAATTTAACCATTGTTAAGTATAAGTTTTACACACTACACAACACTTTCTAGAATAATATTAATTTAATGAATAATGTTTGGATGAAGTGAGTAAATAAAAAAAAAAGTATTTTCTCGATACTCATTGTTTTGGATGTGCTTTATGTCATGTTTTTTATAAATAATACTTTGATTGATTCTAACAAAATTTTAAATTTATAAAAAAATTAAAAATTTAAAACTAAACTTATTTTAAATGAAGTTGGATTTTCGTAATCGTTAACTAACTTGATTCCATGGTTTTAAATGGTAGTTCAACATATATTTTACTTTATTGATATAACACATTAATGTAAAAAAAATATTAATATAGAACTCTAACGATAAAGAAAAATATCACTAAATAGGTTATTTAAAAATTTGATGTGATAAAATAACTTTTTTAACAATTTAAATCATTATACATTAATCTTTTGAATTTTGTTACTAAATGAGTCATTTTACATAACTTAGTAATTTGTTAAAAATTTATTTACTTTCCATAAATTATATTTTACACTAAGATAAACTTTTTTTACTATCCCTTTTAAGATCTAAGATCAGAATATTAGTTCTTAATTTTATGAGAAATTAAATTCTTAAATAATTATTTTGATGACAAATTATTTGAAAATTAATTTGGTAATAAATTAAATTAAAAAAATAGTTTGATAACTTAAATTTTGAATAACTTACTTGATAATTCTTTTATCTTTAGATTGTTAATTTAGTACTGCAACAATAATACTTTGCATCTCGAAACTCTTTTTCTTAAAAATGGAAAACTTTATTCATTTGTTCAAAAGTATATTATTCTCTTTAATTATTTTATAAGCACATCTAATTAGATTATACAAACTAATAAAAATAATTTTATTTTTTTTAGTTTTCAAAAAGTTATCATTACATAACAAGTTTCTCCTCATTTAATACCACTGTATCTAACTCCACAATTAATATTTATTTGCTTCATAGTGTTTAACAAACTCTAAAACTTCCAGAAGGTAAGTTATAAAAAACTCCAAAGGGACTACTAACTAACTAGAGTCATTAAAATGAGTTTCATCCCGTGAGTCTATTTTGATTCATCCTAGCCACGAGTAAACTGTGTTTCTTAAAAATTAGATTTATAACTGTTACAATTTTTTATAGTTTAACTCATCCCCTCACATAAAAATTATAGTAAATTAATTCACTAAGAGATAGGTTAGTCCATTATCATTATAGTAAAAAAATTAATTGAACAAAATTATTTAAGTGAACTAAGTTGAGATAATGATAGAAACATTATATATTTTTAAAAAATAATGAGTTATATAAGCTACTAAAAGATCCTAATAAAAAATAGTAATAGAAATATTTTGCCGTCACATAAATTTTACATTCATATATAGTCAAATATCAAAACTTATAATGACATGACATGAATATATATATACCAAAGGAAAGTGGAATAGTCTTGCCTGCGTTGGTAATTGAATTTTAATGGCAAAGGGTTTCTTAACTCCAAATGACTTTAGTGCTGTCGTTGCCTTGTTTGGAGAGAGCCGCACATTTCTTCTCCAATTCTGAGAATTCGAGAGCAACAATCACTACATCCGTCACGCAAACTACACTTACCAGTCTTGAATCTAATGTTTGAAAAGTCCCCCTGTAGACAATTTGACCAATCGCAATCTTTCTAGAGAACTGTACGATTTCAATACCGTTTCTATATGAAAGAAAAGCGAAATTAAGAACCAAAAACCACGCAGAAAACAAAAAGAAAAAATAGAGTAAAAAATAAAAAATACACTCTTTGATTTTTTTAATAAAGGATCTTTAACTAAATTAGACAAAAATAAATATAGTCAATTAATTTCATTGATGTTTTAAAAATATTATAATATAACAATTTATTTTTATTTTCTTTATATAAATCACATTAATTCTTTAGAGATAATTCTGATTGAGACATGATAAAAAGTTAAAAAAATATATGATGATAATTTTTTTAAAATTTGTCAACAAGAAAAAAAAAGTTAAAAAATAATTATATAATTAAAAGTAATTACATGACAGATTTTTCTATGCAACACCCCAAAGCTTTTTATTTGATTGATTGAACATGGTCACTTTTTCTAAAAAAGTTGGATATTCTTTGAAGATCAAATCTTAAACTGCCAAACTAAAATTAGTTGCATCTACGTTGCTGTCAACACGCTTGCCATCACTTTAAATCTTTGAGCCACACAACAAAAAGAATTATCTAATCAAGCAACGATGTTTGAAGATTTTTTTAAAAAAAACTTGTAGATAACTCGTAAGTTTAGAAGTTTACATAAATATTATGACTTTCGAAAACTTGAAAGATATATAAAATTTCATCTAAATTATAATCGAATAAATATATATAATGAGGTCATCTACTCTCAGGCCTTATCCAAAGATCCTTTTAATCCACCAATTCCGTAAATATTAATAAACACTTGAACGTAACCCAATACAATCCAACATCATCAACTTCAAATCGCAAAATAAACATCTCGTCATTATTTTCAATCAACATATGAACTAAAAATAAACCCTAACGGCCAAAAGACAAAAAGTTAGCAAAATGAATATTAACTCAAAAAAACCAGATTTATACACGGATAAGAGCCGCACTTAAAAACACCAACCATCAACCGAATTTTAGCGTCCCGTTTTCATGAGAAGGGCGTGGAAAAGCTCATCATATACAAGAGGTTAAAACATAAACTTAGAAAAACCAGAATTCCGTGCCCGCGTATATAGAACAGACACAAACAAGAATCACAGTCAAACATTAAGCCACCAAAGAAACTAATATACAATGGACGAGCAAAAAGAACACGAGTACGTTCAAGTTTCAAAGAAGCAGGGGGGAAAAATCTAGAGTTCACTGCTGCACGAGAAAATTTCCAGTTGCATCAACCCAGGAGTATAGAAGCAGCGGGCCAAGACATAAGTTCTGAAAATGATATCATCAAATTCCTATTCAAGCCAACATATTAGTAGTTGCCAAATCGACCTCTTCCCCATGGGAGCCTCCGATTTCCACCTCCATTGCGCTGCACAGCATTATTCTGCATTGACAGAACTCTCATTCTTTGCTCCTTCATGTTTGCAAACAGTGAATCCAGCGTCTGAGGCTTTTGCTTGGGCATTATATCCACATTCGCCTGCTGCTTCTGAGGGGAAGGAAGTGGTTGCTGCTACAAGTTTACAAAAAAATATTAAATTACAGCATCAACAGATGAAAAGCACAAACTTCAATTGGGATGCACAGGGTTCAACAATGATTGACATTTGACGGATAGCTTCTTTATTTCTGCAAGGCCCGCCTTTCAACCTTGGATTTTTGAGTTGTCAATGTACAAAACCAGAAAACAGACACAAACCCAGCAAAGGAAACTACCGTACCTTGGAAGTGATGCCTCCATTAGCAACCCTTCTCTGACTTGTAGGAACTCGAAATCTGCACCCAGAAAAGAAAAGGGATAATCCAGGTGAAGAAATTAAAAAACATTCAAATTACTCCATCAAGATCAGTGATTAGCATCAAGATGCTCAGCACCACCAACTATTACTTGTAATACAAACAGATACTACTCACTACCCTTTCACTTACAAGAAAAGTTGAATCACTTACCATCATATATCTATCTATATCCAACTATAGAAAAGGAGGAAAATAATTTAAGCAAGAATAAAATACAAGACTGGCTACATAGTTGAAGACCAACTCAGTGGTGAACCACTTTCAAAATTTCCAAGAAACCTGCCAGTTGCAACATTATCTGGAGTTTGTACTAGCACCCAACAACTTTGTACAAAACTTGCATCAGTCCAGAACTGGATATTACCAAGGAGGTTGTCATGCAAGTAAGACCACTTAAGACAAGGCTTCCACAAAGATCACATCACCGTAAAGTAGCACTAAAATTTATCTGCATGGAGATGAGGATAACATTGCCCACCAGCAATCACTTTATGCAACCTCTGCAGCAGATTAAAAGAACTTGAAACAAATATTTGGAGAGTGATCATCTTCCCCATTAAATGTTTACCAGACCCAAAAGAACTTCCCATTCATTTACTTGATTGTCAATCACAAAATGTTTTCTTCAAAGTCAAACCCATGAAGAAGTGATTCCAGGTTTCTTGGTCACAAATATATTTTCTCAATCCCACGGAATCAACTTAGAACTTTTCAATTATCTGACCAGTGGTTGAAAACAGTAACTAACTTAGGAACACAAAAATATTAAAGTGGCATGTTGCAATGATTCCATATTGCTTAGCAAGTGCATGCATCTTTGCAGCATTAACTTGGAGAAGTGATCAGGTGTAAGAGCCAATATCATATCGAAGTGGTCAAGGTTTATAGCAAATAGATAGATCAGCAAGAATCTAGACCCAAGCGCAAGGGATACTGACAGCCAAATAAAAAGTAGCAATTCTCACAATGAAGGAACATGCCTAAAGGAGAGTACCCATAAATATTATAATGCTAAGATGATCTCATCCCTTCAACATGGTTAATTCTCAAAAAAAATGCATGCTTAGTTAGTTAATTCCACAATCACTACACTTGCTTCTAAACAACTGAAATGATGCAGAGTTGCTTTTCCCATGTGAGCCAGCCACTAAATATTGACAACATTATTGTCCTGATTTTTGTGCACATGAGATGGTAAGGCTACCCTTCTTCACACAAGGAAGAGATACTTCAAAAAGAATCTTATCTTTTCTACCATCATATTTCCAGTGAACCAGACTCCATCCAACTAGCAACTGATTTGCATAACCAGCCAGTTAAACCAACATAACTCCAATTATCTAGCATGAACATCCTTAGTAACATTCAACATAACCCACTCAAACCACAAAGGAGTTTGGATTTGACAATAGTTTTATGTAATAATAATGCAAGCATTCAATTCAGAATTCCATAACGTGGCTGGCCCTCATTCATGATGTCAAACTGGCTCCTTTTGCAGACAAAAAAAAATCTTACATACGGAAGGCACATTAAGATGGGCCATGTTTTACCTGCAATAATGCAAAATACAATTTACAATCATTGTTATGATTATCATCAACACACAAGAACATTATTCAGAGTTAAATGTTAACTCCTAAACTGCTCTTCTAACAGTTAACATAGGCACACAATACAATTAAAGTATTAAACAAAATATCATACCTTGCTTTATTCCAGTTAGCCACCCTATTACGATTAGGAACTCTATTACGCAGAGGAGCAGTAACAGCTTTTCGTGCAACTTCAACTGCAACAGGAAATTGGTTTCCCTGGAAATTAGACCTTCTTTTTGCAAGAGCCCCCTGATTAACATATTTAAACACAAAAATATTAGAAACATGGGCACAGACACAATATAAGTAAGAAACTTCAAATAATTATGCTTTTCATAAACTAAAACACCTGTCTAAGAGAAGCTCTTGAATCCATATAACGCTGCACCTTTGAAGACTTATCTTGAGTAAAATTGTTTGAAAATTTTTGACTTTTGTTCTGTATAGGTATAAGAATCACGTGAAATCATACATGAATTTTACAAAGCATCCACATATCAAGAAAGCGCAAAACAATTTTCCAGAATAAATACTTACCACAACCCTTCTTTGCTTCCTATTCCTCGTATTTTTAGACATTTTGATTATGTCATCTATCAATATCAACAGATGAAGGATATTAGATATATCAGACAGAATATGAGAAAGAATAGCAGTTTTACAAAGGGTTCTTTTAAGCACACCTAGTGTCATGTCCATCTTCTTTTCCGTAAGCGCAATTGCCTCCGTTGTTAGAGGTTTAGCTGCCATCTAATAATGTATAGAGAAATTTAACACAACTAAGAATATGCCGACAACATAAAAATTTAAGATTACCAACATAGCCTAGAACGAAATGAAACAAGGCCAGTTACAAGAGAAAACATGATTTCGTTCCAAGATTTGTCATGTAAGACTAAAGAAGCACCAAACATCGACATTTTACGACAATTAATCATCACATCGGGCAGAAACGAGGTAAAGAAATAAAAAAAGGACTCTTAAAAGAATAAAGAACACAAAATGTTTCATGAATTGCTTGAACAGATAACTCAATCATAGAAATAAAACCAAAAGAGTTAATAGAACAAAGAGATACCTTCTCAGCTACACCGTAAAAAAAGCCTATTATTAATAACTAAACATCCTTGACTTTTAACAAGCTAAAAAAGATTTCAGCTGTTTTTTTCCCTCTCTGAACCGATTTAAAAGATTAAAGAAAGAAACAAATATCGGCGTAGTAAGAAAAGTTCACTTGATATTTCAATATTCGATGCAAATAGATGTCTACAGAATAGAGAAAAGGTTAGAGGGAAAATCCTTACTCTTCGGTGAAGGTGGAATTGAATAACTGCAACGGAGTTGCAAATTGAAATCGAACGAGACTGTGTTAGGGTTTTGCTTGGTACTCAAAGGCGATGAAGAGATACAGAAAATCGCGTAGAAACTAATATTGGAGGGTGAAATAAAAAAGAAAGAGAAGGGTGAGGTATTTATGCTAGGTATAGATGGCGGTGACTCAACCGGATCTGTATTTGCATCCTCCTTAACCCGAAGGGTTTATATTTGCCTCCTCCAATAAAAACGTAACACGTGGCAAAGGTGATTATATTAATTAAGAAAATATATTTAAAATTAAAAATAAAAGTCTGCAACTGCATAATACTCTTAATTAGAAATTCTCCATGCCAGAACTCTTCTGTTTTTATGCTGTAATCTCTTTAAAATTAACAGCCTTTCAAATAGTTTCAATTCTGCTTTGCTGGATTTTCAAACATGCCACGGAATTTTCGCGTGCCCAGCTTTTATTCTCACAACGTCAAGCCCAAAATATTTTTATTGATGTGTATTGTGAGAAATCTCTACATTAGTATTTTACAACAATCTTATATTAATCTCTTATTTACTAACAAATATGTCCATTGCACAGATTTATATAAATATATTTTCTATAAATATATTTATATTTATTATTATTTAATTTAATTTTAAAATAAGTATAATTTAAATTAAAAATAATTATTTTTAATGTGATTAAAAGATCAAAATATTAAATAAATTTTTAATTATTTTTAAAATAAATTATATATAAAAAATAAATATAATAGTTAAAATTAATTTATATGTGACTTTAAATATTATAAAAATTAACAATAATAATTTAGTTATAAATTAATAAATATATTTATGTGTTACACAAATTTATTTATATTTTTATTAAATTATTCTATTTTAAAGTAAATAAAAAATATTATTTAAATATAAAAATATATGATAATAAAATTTTATTATACTGAATAATATTAAATATAATTAAATTAAAAAATATGATAAATATATTTTTATATACAAATTTTTATATATTTTATATATTTAAAATTTTTAATTAAAATTTAAATAAAAATTAAAAGAGAAGAATAATTTTATTAAATACAAAAAATAATTCTTATATCAATTAAAATTACACATGTTGATATAATATAAAATTTATGAATCATGTATAAAATATAGATAAATATTATAATAAAAAAATTCAATACATAATAATAATAATAATAATAATAATAATAAAAAGTAAGAGAAATATATATATAATAAGATAATAAAATTATTTTATAAAAGATGAAAATGTTTGGCGCCATTCTACTTTTGAAAATCTATAAATTTTTAAAGTATTTATACAATAATATAATAAAATTATTCAATTTTCTAAATCTTTCGTTGCTGTCTATCGTTTAACATTGTTTACTTTATTTTCATCGAGTTACAATCTAAAACTAAATATGAAATATAAATTAGTATATGATTTAAAAAATTTCAACAATACATTATAAATTAAAAAATTATACATTAATTTTCTCTTTCTTTTTGGTAGATTTGGTGTTTCACGGTTTAAGATATACATAAAGAACTTATTATCAAGTCACCTTCTTTTATTTTTATATTTATATTGTCTAAATTTCCTTTCTTCTTAATATTTAAATATTAAATAATAAAAATAAATTTATTCATGATCGTATTGTAAACATTATAAATGAAAATAATAAAACTCTAATTTAATCTTCTATATTATCTTTACTATTGGCTTCAAAATTTTATTTATTTTAAAACTTTGTCTTTCAAGATTTTTAAAGTAAGTACTTATTTTTATTTAAAAAATATGTAAAATGCCTATACTATGTTCTATTGAAACATGTATGTAATTGTCCTATAAAAAAAAATTAATTAATTAAAAAATTTAAAAATAAATTAAGTTAGTATAAAATTACATATAAAAGATAACATAATTATAATTTATTGCAAATAATAAATTTTTTATAAAAAAAATATAAATACTAATATCTTTTCATCAATTAGTACCATATCAATTTTAATTAACTATTTTTTATGATATATGTTTAGACTATCCTATAATCTATATGAATCACATATAATTTTAATTTGTAAGTTATAAAAAATATTATAATTAATTCCAATGAACTCAAATTTTAGGCAATTTATAGTGAATTTGTTAATATAAAATATATGAAACTAATAAATAAAAGTTTTGAAGCAATAACACTCAAATTTAAATATAACTTAAAATAAAATACAATTTTTTTTACTATTAAAAGGTAACTCGAGAATTTTATTATATTTTTATAAAAATATTTTTATTCAATTGTAAGAATTTTTTCATTCAATTGAATCAATATTTTTTCTTTTTAACAATTGACAATGATTTTTAAAATTTTTAGAAATTGTCATTTGCAGCAATCATAAATTATAATAAAATTTTCTTAAATACAATTAAAAGATAATACATATAAATCAAATATAATTTTAATTAATAAGTTATAAAAAATATTATAATTAATTTTCATTTATATAATTTTTAATAAATTTATTTATAAATTATTATAAATATATAAAAATAATATATATTTGTTATTTATATATAGAAGTGACTCTAAACATTTTAAATTTTAATAAACATAAATTCTATTATAAATACATAGAATAATAAACATGCGTAATTTTATAGACTAATGAATATATAAAAAAAAATATAAAGTAACTTCATACTTTTTAAATTTTAACAATTATAAATTTTATAAATTTTGTTATAAATACATATGATAACAAATAGTAATAGTAAATTTTACATAAATATATAGATATACAGAAGATAGATAGATTATAAATTAACGGGAGGAGCACATAATTTAGTAATGGCGCTTTGGAGAATAAAGTTAAATAAATAGGATAATGGAAAGGAAAAGAGTTTCATGCAGTCTTGTCGTTTTGGAGAATAAAGTTTTTGCTTTGTGAAGGAAAAATTATTTGATAGCTTCTCTTTTTTTTCTGTTCTTTTGCGATCAATCAAGAAATACAATTTTTCTTTGCTTTCCTCTATTTTGTACTCCAGGTTCCTAACAGATTTTATTTTCACCTTTTGCATCCATGCATTGCACAACAATTTTCATGTCATTGTTTTAGGCACTGCACAATGCACTGCACAAAGTATATAGCAAAATATAATTTTAATTTAAATGATATATCACAAAACAAATCAACTTCACTAAATGTCGGAGAAGATCATCAAAATTGCAATGTTCGAAAATTTAAAGCCGAATGGGTCAATCAAGTCCTAGAATGAGCGGTGAGTGACAAAAGAATCATCGGTCTCTATTCAATTAACGCTACCTTTTTACCTTATTTAGTATGTACAAGAAAACAAGACAAAAAAAGAAGATAATGGCTTTACTTTCATATTTACACATGTATCTTAAAGTCATAGAAAAGGGGTAAAGTATGTTACATCTCTACTGAACCATTGGCAGTTGATGTATCAGATTCCAATTTGCAATCACATTGTAAAGTTGATAACCACGAGTCCACCTGAGAGAAGAATAACGAAGGGAAAAATACATCATTTAATATCATCAATAAAATAAAGATTCAAATTAATAAATTATTCAGTACCTGCTCAAACAGTAAAATGTAATAATAAATACTACTTATAGGAAACAATTTTCATAACATAGACACACCTGTATCTTAGAACTGCTTGAGCATTCATATCGTAAACCATGACGAGTTAAAATATAAAAGGCGTATCGCATGTCATCATCTTCACGCTTAAAACTTGGTAGTTGGTCTACTTCAACAATATCAGATAGAAGCACCGAGTCATGAGGACTAAGATCTGCAATTTACCCCTTTTATCAGCAAAACCATTTTAAATGAAAGCCGATCATCTCAACGCTTATAAAACTCAAAATTGTGCCATTGAGTTAAGAGTGTAAAGCTATATCTACCTTGAACTTTTAGTAAATTAAAATCACAATGCACTTCAAATTAAATCAAGAGTAAATGCATTCATAATTACTTAAAAAACAAAATCACTTTTAAATAATCATGTTCAAGAGTACTTCCTATGTTTGCCCCTATTCTTGTAATTCAATTTGGTCGTGCCTATGATGCGTCAGGGCTTTCACACGTAGGTGTCATATATATATATATATGTATGTATGTATATTATTGGGCCTTTCCAAATTAAGTCATTACATGTTTGATTCTCCCTTTGAAAACCACAAACTATGATCAGGGCAAAAGTCATAAGAGATAAGCTTTTGTCCAAACCATGGTTCGGAGATTCCCAACAAAACACAAAAGACCTTTTTTATCTTATCTTTTCTTCTTTTTCATAGTCCGGCAATGAAATCTCTTTGAAGTGCTAGCCCCTGGTTAGACATCATTAAGGAACGGAGTTTCACCATAAAATGTCGATTTTCAAGAATAGAAGTCAATGACAAGCTTAAAACAAGTATTGGAAAATTAACTAGCCAATAGACAGGTGGAAGTGTTGTTTTCCATAATAGCAAGGAATGTATTTAAAAGAAATTATACAAAAGGAAACGGGTATGCCTAGAAATTAGGAGGTCTCCTATACTTTTTCATATCATACACCATACATAATTCAAAAGAAAAAGTGCAATTTATCTACATAGTCAGAAAATATAAGGGTCAGTCCAATAAGTCTAGATGTCGGGTAGTAATGTCAACATGTTATACATTTAACTAGAAAATGAAGATCAAGTTACTCATCAGTAAAGAGATATAAAGAAATATCTCAATCCAGAAAAGTCTTTGCATGTTTAGCAAAATTTGCATGCAATTCATATCAAGTATAGTGACAAATATAATCAATGATAACAAATAAAAAAATTCCTCTCAACATTTTGCCATTGAAATTTTTACGTGCATTACAGGATTAGCATTCAAGACTTGTAACGAAGACAAACATCCAGAGAGTACATCTTCAATGATATATTAATATGCCAGTTAGAAATAAAAAATGGAGGGGAGCGAAAGAAGTAAAAAAGATATAAAGAATATATTCAATGCTCTGAAGTTGAATATATTAATCTCAAAACAAAGTAAAAATACAAACTGCAAAACTAACGAGAGAAAAAACTTGTAAGGAATAATATATCAGAAAAAGGTGTTATAGCAGGAACAACAGCTCTGAATAAAAACAGGAGTTGGTAGAAAAAGAAGGGGAAGAAGAAAGGCAAAGAAGAAAAACAAATAACCACATTACCTGTACACAACAAATATACGAATAGACATGCGCCATGAAGAACAATAAAGCGAGGAAGCCAATCATCTACATCAGTATCATCTATAGGTGGTGGTTCTCCTGGAAGTGCTATCCATCTCTATGGAGAAAGATCAAAAGCAAATTATTAACAAGTCAGTTAGGCAAATAATAAAACGATGCACAAAGTACAAACTGGAGCAAAGTAAACCAAAGGAGGTTGTTCAGTAAGTACCGTGCGGATGTATAAATAACCCGATAGACGAGCTGACCGCAAAACTTCATCAACATTTTCCAACCTGTGAGAGAAAAAAAATCATTAAAATTATTTATAGAAAGCACGTTTGTGTCTCTAAGGCCTGTAAGAATTCCAGTGTCAGGGAAGAGTTGGTAAAGATTAAACGCTCAATTCCCCCAGTCTTTCAACACATTTTCATCTCCAACATTGAGTAGCTGCCTCTGTTCACGTGGAGAACAACCAAAGAAAAAACGGAATTGAACTTCATTTTATACTTAATACTCAAATAATCACACACGTGTAGACTCCAAATCTACGGCTTGCATCTGAATTCCTAGCTTTTTTATATTCAATGTCTTTGGTAATTCAATCAAAAGAGAAATACCAATCACAAGAAGCAAGTAACCCTTAGCAAACTGCTATGTGAGAACTTAAAATACATAGTAAGGCAGAAAAGACAATAATAGTGCAAAGTTACAGATCACTTACTGAGCTTTCAGTTGAGCTTCCCTTTCTTCTATATCGGCAAGTTCTGATCGAAGTGACTCTACTTCTGCAGCTGTTAGCTCAACCTGCAAAATATAATTTGTCTAGGTATGATGTAACAGAACCTTCACCAATGATGAAAGGCACACTGCACAAATGATTCTCAACGCAAACCTTTCCCTGACCACCACTACTGGAGCGCCATGGCAGACCCCAAAGAGTAAACAATTTCAACATGGAAGCAGCCCTTGATGTTCTTCAAGTCCACAGATGGCGCCAAGTCCTAAACAATGCTGTATTAAGTGATTGATTTCAAACAGAGTCAAACTCTCTTAATGACTTTCTGATCATGGGTTTCTTTCCCCTTTTCCACCAGGATAAAATGCCTCAAAAGATTTAGCAGTTCTAGGTTTTGCAAAAGAAAGTGTTGTTTTCTCAAGAGATTCTACAGCAGATATTGGAAATTGAAAGTGATCAGGGACGACCTTTATCTTCTCACAACCATCATCCATGAAATAGACCCTGATCAAGAAGGAAAGGAAAAACTACATCTGAGGAAGACAGGAATGATGAGTAAACAGTGAATAATCCCAAAACATAAAAAAGCCCAGGCATTCAGAAAGAGCATTAAGAAATTGTTGCGTGGTGATCACTCGGCAGTCAATTTATACTAGTATTAAAAACACAACACTCCAAGACAGGGAAAAAGAAAATATAAATATATATAAAAAAGCAAGCAATGAATGGTGCAAGGATCGCAGATAAACTGGTATGGTTGGGAAAATCGGAAGAAGAGCTTTATTCCAAAATAATTTAAAAGTCGTACAAAAACTTGCAGATTAGAACCGGCAACGAATAATTCTTGGAAGATAACATACAATAATAATATTAAGTAACAACGCATTTGAATAAGAACAGAGAAAAAGAGAGAGAGTTGTTTGGATGTTGGTGGTACCCGCGGTATGAGGAAGAGAGATCGGTGGTAGCTACAGTTTACACGAAAGAATTTCACCCCAAGCCGCAGAAACAGAGATAGACATCAAATATTGTTAGTTGAGTATTTTACTAGTTTGACCCGTATCTTCTTCCCAGTAATACGATATAATACGATATGGAAATCGTATTATTATTATTGGATAAAATTTATATTTTTATGTTAGGCCATTGGCTGTTATATTCTGCACATGCTCTTATCACAGGCCCAGCCGCAAATATTTGCCATTTGCTGCTCCCTTGTTTCTTTTTCAGTACTTATTTTTTTTTATGTTAAGAAATTAATTCATATTCTTCAATAAAAATATTATTTAGAAAAACAATTAAAATTATTTTTACGCATGTTTAATAATGAAAACTTAATTTTATTTAATTTTGATCAAAGAGATTTTTATTTTATTCTTTCAAATTTTAAAAAATAAAAGGTATATTTTCGGCAGAAGAATCTCACCATGTAGCATTTTGGACTGATAATTATTTGAAAGCTAAAAGAAACAATATAGTATTTAACTTAGAGTAAACTTTTCATTTTTAGGTTAATTTTCATGCCAACCTACTAAACAATTTAGGGCAAACTTTTTAATCTTTAATAACATTCTACAAAATCAATAACTTACAAATTAATAGTACTAATATAAATTTTTACTAGATATAATTATTAAAACATTCATTATATTTTATTTTTTGAATATCATGGAGTGGGATTTCATTAACTTGCAAGAAAGTTATATCCAATATCTGAGGTACTTATTGCCCGTAAAAACATGGAAAACGGTACGTAAAGAATTATCCGTCACCACCGTTATTTTATTTTCCGGCTGCGCCTTGCAATCGATCAGCTAGAGCGCAGAAAAATTCAAAGCAATGTAGTTTGGGACAAGGCAAGTCAATGTAGTTTCTCCGTCCTTCCACGCTGTCCACTCTATTGAATACCGTACCGTAGATAAAAACCAAGAGAAACAAAACTTCAAACCTGTTCTTTTCAGAATCAATTTCAAACCTGTTCTTTTCAGAATCTATATTCGAATTCCATCAATGGAAAAATTAATCATGGTTTACAATTTCAATCCAATGCATATTTTTATTATTGACAATTAAAATCAGTATTTTGTTTCGTGCGAACACCAGGCAACTAAAAAAGAACCATTAAGTGTTGATGATGAATTTATGATGACTTAGAGCTACAGAAAATGAGTGCAAAATATAGTCTGCTCTCCAACACAGTCGATTAGATGCAGCCGCCCAACTGCCACAAGTCAAGAAAATTTTTATTTTAGGAATACAATACAAATTGAGTAAATATTGAGGCAAAATGCTGGATTGATATCAGAAAATATATAAAAAAAGAGTAAGCAAGCAAGAGCAAGAAACAAGAAATTCAAAGGCTTAAGGCCTATCTAGTGGCACACTTCAATCGCGGTTCATGCAAGAGTAGACCAAATCCTAACCCCTTTGCAAGATCAAATATGCATTTTGTAATGAACAGAGGTGACGATGGTAACACAAAGATACGTACCAAAATTGCCTCAATCTCCTCTTTGGACACAGGAGTCCTTTTGGGTTGAAGAGAGGCCTTCCCTCCCAGTGATGTCGAGGCTTTTGAACTCGAGAAGAATGGTAATTTGGCATCGGTCGTCTCAGGTGCAGAGCCTGCGAAAATTTCAAGAGAATTGGGCAATTTACTTATTGTCTCAACATAGAAACTAAATGACAAATGGTGTAACATTCTTCTCAAAATATCCAACTATTATGAATCAAAATGAATACTAGGATGGAACAGATAAAAAACAGTGAAAGAAAATTCTAATTACGTGATAACAATAAAACAATAACCCTTCCTATGATTGACCTGGACAAAAAGAAATCAGGCTTGTTTGACCATATTGTTACGTTTTGGGCATTGACACTGTTAAATGAAGACACAAATGATTCAAAAACGTGGTGAGGTGGTATTCAAACATAAGAACCCTAATGTGAAATGATTCTCAAACTAACAACTATAATTCTCATGGAACAGAGATAGATAGATGATTTCGATAGACACGGAATTAAACGACGATATATCCTAAAAGCTACAGGAATGAAACTGCCCTAATTTTATTCCAAAACGTTAAACGACGATAACAGTAGCAAAACCTTGGGAATAAAGAGAATCGAACATTTAAGGATGCTTTACCAAGTCTCGAATTTATCTCGATAAGAATCAAAAACTTAAATCGCAAGCGGCATCTATCAGAATTTGCATTCAGATTATCATAATCGGATTGTTACTTTCGAATTAATTATCATTAACTTTGATGGAATATGATGATTACCAGCGGAGGCAGAGGGTTTGGGATGTCTCTGTGGGAACTTGATGCGAGGGATTCTCTTCATAGCTTGAGCTCCACCCATTCCTTCCTTTTTCTTCTTTCTTTCACAATTCACAAACCAAACAAAACGATTACTGAATTCCAGAATTTTATCATTAGAACTGTCCAGTGTGCGATCCAATAGCCCATTGGGCCTCGTTCAAAGGACCAGCCAGCCTATATGGTTAATGTTTATTTTTATACGATTTTTTTATAACATGATATTATTTATCAATGCAAGAGGATTCAAAATTTTCATATAAGCCGTTAAATTTTCATTCTCCACATTAAATAAAATTTTTTAGATGATATAATTTATTTGAACAAAATTTATCCAATAAAAAAAGATAAAGTTATCATACCATCTCATTCTATCATATTTTATTTTAAAATTAATCTAATAGAAGGGCTTAAGCTAGTAATAAAAAGATGGATAATATTTTGGAAAATTTATTTAAATAATGCTAATTTAAAAATAAATTCTCAAATTAGCATTTTTTTTTAAACATATTCTCTATCTGGTGCTATTTTTTGCCAGATCATTACCTGTATCGCATCTGCATGTATGATAACCTATTTATTTAATTTTTTAATACACTATTGGTTATATATAACCGATACTTGCTCAGATTTATACACGTGTCGTAATTAGAGGTGTATCATTTATTTTCAAACGATAGATAAGTCGTTAGTCAAAACGTGTAAATTCTATCGTTTATCTAGAGACGATATAGGTGATGCTTGACAACTGTCAATTGGGATGGCTGTATCGGTTCGTTTTGAGCAATAGCCAATGCGCTGGTCCAGCTGCGTCAGCACTATCACTCTGTAGAGTGCGATACAAGTGAGCACCCGCCACGTGTTCACATCCACTGGTTACATGAGTGATGCATTGAAAAAAAATCTATGTAGCAGTGGTATATATATTGCACTCTTCACATTTGCCTAACATTATTGCTGAAGGGAAAAAAAAGCTTTGCGTTTTGCACTCTTCGCATTTGCCTCAATCTGAAGGAAGAAAAATTTTTACCTTGCGCACTCTTTGCATTTGCCTTACATTGTTGAAAGAAGAAAAAACTTTACGTTCCTAAAGCGTTTTCCTGAAGAAAAAAATTTGGAGAGCTCAGATTAGTTGAGTTTCTTCCGTGATTATGTAATTTATTTATTGAGTTTTGATTATTTTTGTTTAGATAAAATTTATATTTTTTATTTGTTATGGAAATAATTTTTTTTATTTAGTAGTTAAAATAAAATTGAATAGTGTGATAGAAATATTATTATCAAATAAAATAATGTATATAAAAAATTATGATTTTATTTTAATATGATTGTAGTATTTTATTATGATTAATAATTTAAATATTTGTATAAATTATTAAAAAAATTAAAAAACTGTGAAAAGAAATGTAAAAATGATGTAAAATGATTTAATAGAGGTAATAAAATTATTTTTAAATTAAATTGATATTAAAAAATATGCCTGATTTGAGTAAAAATTTATAATCTTTATAAAATAAAATTAGGCATATAAAGTGATGTTTAATAAAATTCATTATAAACTGTTGTGATAGGTTACGTTGTTTTTTATGCAATAAATTTAAACAATTTAATGTTTAATTTAGGTTGATATTTAAATATAATTATACTAATTTTGTTGTGTTAAAAAATGGCAGAAAAATTTTATATATTAATGCAATATTATTAACATTATAATAAGTTTGGTGTTGCATATATGAATTTTTAATAAAATAAGTTTAGTGAAGCGTTATGGTGCATTCTCCTGGTGGCATATGAAAGATGTGTGTCTCAGGCCTCCATTTTTTAACTAATAGAGTAATCAGTGTCTATCTAATAGAAAGTTGGCAAGCTGTGTCACTCCAGCAAAGCCAGCCAGCTCCAAATGTGGTAGAATTTCTAATGGAACACCGTCTAGGCCAACTGGTATAAACTGACACTTCTTAACCTTCATCATAGGATGTTCTCGACCATCCCCAAATGTGTTTAGACACATGTATACTTTAAAAACGTAACAATGATGAATCTTTAGACTCTGAATTAATCACTAAACCTTGTGAAGAAGATGATTTCGTCTAATAATTTTCAAAAAAAATGTTAGTATTATTAACATATTAAACATGACAAGATAATGGTAAAATTAATATTTTACTTATCTAAATACACAACTACAAATTTAGTGAACCAAGTTACATAATAATTAAAAAATTTAATAATCATATGAAAAATATAGAATAATATTACAATTACATATTCATATTCAATATTACTTTAATTTAATTTTTGTACAAACTATAAATTTATTAACATTACAAAACTAGTTAATGCAAATTAACATTTTTGTTTAAGTGCACATAGAAATTTTTGTGTTAATAAATAGTAAATATAATAATTATGCCTAATATTTATTACACTTCTAATAATATACTTTAATTTTTATATACCTAATATTTCAATTTTATTATATATTTACTTACATTAATGGCTAATTTAATATTTTACTACATGCAGAATTTATTTTTGTTTAATTTTATAATAATACAAATAATTTCTATTAGAATATTCGTACTAAAATCTTTATTTTTTTATATATAATTTTTATTAGGCTGTACTATTTAGCATTTATGTATGGCAATATATTTAATAACTTATGTAAATAATTTTTTTTAATATTTCTATTATAATAGAGATCAAAATTATGTATAATTATAAAATCACGTAATTATAATTTTTTAAACAAATGTCGCCATTATAATCTATATTAATCTATAATAACCTAAAAATTCAAAAAAAATTTAACTTTATATAAATATAATTCAGATAAGTTACATAGATTTTCTATCTTCAAAAAAATCATTTGTCGTAATTATTATTTTTAATGATTTTATATTTTTATTATTTTAAATATACATATATTTCATTTAAATTATATTTTAAATTTCCTTTTTATATTGTGATTAAGAATGAATTTATTTATAATTTTAATCTTTTAAAATTCTATTATTTCTAATCTATTGATAACAAATTATAAATTACTGTTTATTATTTTTTAAATTTGTTTCCGTAAAATTTTGATTTACTCTACTCAAAATTATTTTACATTTTAAACATATTTCATAAAATTATACTTTCTACACCTATAATTTACCCTTCTAATTAATCTTAACAGTGATAATTTTTTTTACAAATTTTATTTAATTTATCATGTTTTATTATGTAATTTTAATTTATTAATTTAACTCATTATCTATTTTTTTTCTCAGCCAACTTAATATTTTATTATGCTGTAATTAAAGATTATTTTAATTTCAATTTGCTATTTTATAAAAACACTCAACCAAAAATTTATTTTATTCACAATTAAAAAATATTAATCTATTTTTACTGACTTTACTAAATATTTTACATAAAATTTACAATTTTTTCATAACTGCACTTAAACTTAAACATATTATAAATTTTTTCAATTTAATGCTAAACTTCAGAATTAAATATAACAAATGTATATTCAACTTATAAATCTAATTTTTTTTAAAAATTAGTAATTCAAATATTACATTTTCAACTAATTTTACGTTAAATTATTTAAAAAATATATAAACATTAAAATAAATTAGAAAAAAATTATACATGAAAAATTTATCCTTCATTAACCCCTTTTGTCGATTGAAATAGAGTTTCACTTTTGTATTTTCTGGTACCAGCACCTGCAAATTTTTAAAATATAATAAACTATTATTTTTCTATTATAAATAAAATAAACAAATTTATTACAAAATTTTATTTTTACCTTTGAATTTCGTTCAGAAAAACACTGTAAAATCAACAACTTGTCCTAAATTTGACACAAGTAATGGACAAATGCTCTTCTGGCTGGCGTTAATGGAAGCTGAACTGCAGGGAGGGAAGAAGAAGGGTTCTGCGGCACCAGTATCTTTCTCGCCACGTGTCGTAATCAGAAGCATTATCACCACTGATACACCGATAGCCTTATTGTAGAGGCAGAGTCAATATAGCGTACGATTTTAACATGTATTCTCTCCTTGACCGTTGATTTTGAAAAAGACTATCATTGCTATTGGTGCGATACAAATGATGATCAGACACGTGACAATTATCGCCCTCAAGTGTCCGATAGAAGTCAATTTTTATTTATTTTTTCTTTTTTAAATTACTCAAGAATTTCTGTGTCTATGTGTTAAATTTTGAGAGAGTATCAGTTAGGAGTTGCCAATAGTCAATTAAAAATTAAAAAAAGTATACCATCGTACATGCAGATGCAATACAAGTACTGATCTAGCAAAAATTAGTACCAGATAAAAAATATGTTTAAAAAAAATATTAATTTGAGAATTTATTTTTAAATTAGCATTATTTAAATAAATTTGCCTAATATTTTTTTTCATCTCATAGCACGTTCGGTCCTCTAATTCTCCCACTCATTTTCTCCTTTATCACCCACTTTCTCTTCCTCCCTTTTCTCTCTTTTTTTTTTTTTTTTTTTCTTGATGTCGCTTTCTTTTACACAAAATCACACCAAAGTCAAACGGTGTTTCATCTCTTGTAAAAAGTATTATTTATGTGGCGCTTCTTTGTATAGTTCTAGTTTTTGAGGATTTTCTCATTTTATGTTCCATTTATTGGTTTCAAGATCTCTGAATCCTTAGTTGGTGTTTCCTGTTTAATTTCTATTGCCAACTTGATTTGCCAAACCATTGCTTTGATTTTGTATGTCTATCTTGAGTTTTTTTTTTTTTTTTGGTTGTTGAAAAAAACTAGAAGCATTAGACTGGATTGAGACAGTTTTTTAATGGTTGCCCACTTTTTATTTTCCTTTTAATTGGTCTTTCTTTCTTGGGTTTTTTTTTTCTTTAATTGACAAAAGACGAATTTTATATTGTAATTTGCAATTATCCTGTTTGTTTGATGAATGTCTAAATGGTGATAATTGATGTTCATTATGATTATAAGCCTGAAATGAATAATAGAATCATAGAAGATTTGTTTCCTTCCATGTATTTTTACTTGTTATTGTTTCATTTCATTCCTATGCACTTGTCATTCATTTTGCTAACAAAATGATAATTAATTATTTTCAAGCCTAATTTTAAGTAGCCTGATTACTAATTATAAAGGGGGAGTTTTAATTGAATATGTGTATAAACAATAAAAAAATAATATATATATATATATATATATATATATATATATATATATATATATGAGCAAAATCTTTCTATTCTAGTGTGTAAGTCTAAGAACTTTTATATTCTATTTAAGTCTTTCATTTAAGTTACATCTAATGGTCAAAGTATTAAATTATAACCTATTAAATATAAGTTAAATGAAAGAATTTTTAAACTTTTTTTTGATATAAATATTTGAGTAATGTATAAAAAGACACAAAATTAAGTGCAAATGAAAAAATTTGAAGAACCCAAAGACAACCACATATAATGGATGATTGCAAAACAGAGAGAAATTTAAAGGAAAATTCTACGTAAGTAGAACAAGAAAAAGAAAATATCTAACTTGACTTGATAAATATCATAATGATTTTCATACTATGTTAAGAAATATGGCAAAGTCTGAAAAGTAAAAAGAAATAAAAGAGAGACAGAGATAGGGAGCGGAGAATTCAGAACACGTGGAATGAGAAATGTGTACAATTGAGTTCATAATATAACTTATACATATATAAGAGAAAGCAATTAATAACTAACTACCTCATAAACTCTAGCCAACTAACTAGCTAAAATAGTTATGGTAAATAAATAAATACATAAAAGTTTTTCATTAAAAACTTTTGATAATGTCACCTTCAAACAAAAAGTAAACGCAATTCAAAATTAACAAAGTAAGTTACTTCGTTCTTCTCGAGTAAACGCAAGCATTTATTAACAAAGAAAGCCGACATTTGGCAAACAAACAACTTTCAAATGGATTACTCTTCAAAATCAATTCAATTTAGTTACCTTTTCTTCCAGGTTCTAGAAGCAAAGAGTAATAATATCTTTAAAAACCAATTATTAAAAGAAAAATATTTCTTTTTTTAAAGAATGATTTATTTTCAAATAAGATATTTTCCCATTAGAAAAACAAGATAGGTGTAAAAGAAAAACTAAATTAAAAGTTTAGTCTTATGTTTTAACAATATTTTATTTTTATCTCTATATAAAATATTTTTTAATCATGTTTCCAAAAACACACACTTAATAAATTATTAGTGGGTGTTTTTGTATTATAAAATAATCCATTTTTAATTTAACTTAAAAGGAAACAACTTAAGAAATCCAATGCAGTACTTAATTTCAAGAGTAACAAAAGATCACGATGGTTTGAAAACTTAATCACATTGACTTAGTCTCGCTAGGCCTAATTTAATCCAATCCCTCTTTCATTATTTCTCCGTGACTCATTCCTTGCTTCACTTTCTAGGGCCTCAATAAACTACGGTCTTCAACAAAGACAAAGGAAGAAAGGGGTGGAAAAGTAGTCAATACGCATAATTTTTCAAGCAAAAAAATTAACAGATTATAAAACAAGGAGGCACAGATGAGTTTCTAATACGTTTCAATTTTCAGGCATGCACTTGATTGAATTGAAAGTTCATGACAATTTTCTAGTGCCAACTTCCACTGTCTGATTCTTGGGTGTTCTCTAAAGTTATACTCCTTGATGCAATCAGCCATGATCTTCTTTATCGATCCTTAAAAGAGTAGGAAAAAACGAGCTTAATATGTGGCATACACATACCCTTATTCCAACGGTCCCATCTATAATACAATCAACATAAAAATTTCTATTTAGACTTTAGCTATTTCTTGTTTATATTTTGTAAAGTTGTGGATGATTTATATAAGTCATAGTGAAAATTATAGTGTCTTTCTTCAAAACACTTCCAACTTTCCAATTTATCAAAGTTTCAAAATTGTCTCAAGTATATTGTTTACCGGCGTACGTAGTTGTATGATAACTACAACTGGTGCCACAACACTAGACTTGTAATTTAAGTTGAACGAGTCCTTCACGATAATTGATTAAGCAAGTGGCAAGTGGTGACATTGAAGATAGGGCCTTAAACATCACACTCAAGAGTGGAACACAGGATTAGATCAAACCGCTATAAGTGTGAAGCTCGGACAGATTAAGTTATATTTTCACACTTATTTATTTTACGTCCAATTTTTATCTCTTCATTTTTATTTTTATTTATCTATCGCATCGTATATCATATCATTTATTTTATCTTTCTTTTTCTTCCTCCTATTTAACACTTATTTCGTGCATTTTAACATATTGTTTTGGCTAAATTAGACACTACAAAGGTAGCCAAGGGGTTAAATTCACCCAAAAGGGTATTGAGTATTGACCCTTTCAACATTGGGTGTTTATTGCTTTAGTCTTTTAGACATCAGCGTCCTCAATGTAATATGCACAAAAGTGGAGCCAAGCTTTTCTGTCTTTAGCAAAAAAAGAACATTGGTGGGGACTATCCAATGGGTCCTTCAATCACTGGAAACTTGACTAATAAAGGCACAAACACGACCTTTCTCTCTCTCCTGCTATAGGATCAAATAATATTTCAACTCTGATATTTCATTTTTTTATATATTTTTTATCATATAATCAATTATACATTTTAAATTTTAAATTGTAAGCACTCGAACAGTATTAACACGAATTATTTAGTACAAAAATGGATCCCTACGTTCAAAAAAATGGTAGTTGTATCTTTCAGTGTTGATTCTCTTTAATTATATTTTATTTTTAAAATATATATATCAACAGTTAGGATTGATGATTGAAAGAAAAAGTGACTATAAAAGATCTGGGTCCATTTACTCCTTTCAATCTCTCTCTATCTATCATTTTTCACATTTTTTATTTCCATATTTCTCCAAGAGTAAATATCTCAAAAAAATATTTACAAGTTGCAACTTTTTTATATCTCTTTTCCTTTCCTCCTAGTTTATAACCAAACAACGTGTGTCAAATTTCAGTTTTTTATAATATTTGAGGTAAATCCATGACCTTTTGTGCCCCAGTTGACACGTCATATGCTTATCTCGTGTAAATGACTATAAATTAATTGACTCTTTCATGTCCATTCTGCCTCACCCCTCCTTCAATTACCAGTTTCTTGCAGCAACACTCTTCCGTAGAACACGATCCATACATATTCCACGCCATGTTATCTTGCCTTAGCAGGAAGGTATCAGATGAAAAGGTAGTATTGAGAGAAGAGTTAACTAAAAAGAGATCTCCACCGCCATGCAAGGCGGTGAAGAAAAGTGTCAGGTTTGCGGATTCAGAACCTTCCAACAACGAGAAGGAGTTCGTGAAAGGATGGTGTGATGGTAATGAAGCAGGAGAAAAAAGAACAGGGATTAGAGTGAAGGTAAAGATGACAAAGAAAGAAGCTGCAAAGTTGCTATCAAAATGCAAAGAAGGAGGAGTTCTCCAATTCAAGGATGTTGCTCCTGAGCTTGTCGCGCTCCCACTGAATCGAGTTACCGTTGTTTCTACTTTGCACCAATGATAATGTTCAAGCTGTGTAGTAGTGAGATTCACAAAATTATCTGTAGTATGTAATTGTCTATGATAGTGAATTTGCTTAGATTACATTAATAGAAAGTTTTGTTAGCTCTAGGAGTGTGCATGCATCGTTTCATTTGGTTGGTATGGAAAAGAGCAGGGTTTAACTATGTTAGTGAAGTTTAAAGACTATATATATTAAACCTTTGTAAAAATATAAAGATGAATTGAAGTTCCAAGGTTTTAGTTTTGTTGTAATTATTTTATGGATATAGGATTATTCTTATTATTTACGTAAATTTTGCGAGAAGTGTTATTTTAACACTCAAAATAAGTGTCTGAATCATACACTCAGTATTTTATAGTGTTGAAATACTTTTTATGTATAAAAGAAGAATATTAAATAATTATAAAAAATATATTTCAATACCCAAATAGTGAGTGTGTGGTGTAACAACCAAAATGAATGTTAAAATATCATTTGTGGTAAATTTTGCAAGTCTTGGAGCACTCACTTGAATCCTAGTTGGAAAGAAGCCTAGAAAGTTTTTAACGTAGAAAGTGGAAGTCTAAGTTACCCTGGTCTTGGGGAATCTAGCAACGAAGTAAAAAACGAGTAAATTTTTTTCCTTCAAATTAACTAGATAGCTTAGTTAGTTAAAGTGCAAGATACAAATTGTGAGTATAGGAGTTTGATTCTCTCAAGGCATTGCCTTTTTTCTATTCCTCTATTCTATTTGCCCTCTTCTTATAAGAATTATTATGAGTCTTAATTTAAAAGGGAAAAAAAGTAAATTTTTATTTCTTAATTGTTGTCAGAAGAACAAGCTCCCAAAGGACATTTCTATATAAATTACAATAAAAATTATATACCACCTCGAACTTCCTATATTTCATTATGTTCTATTGTTCAACTTTCAAACACATCTTCGATCTTGCTGTTATCTTTCTTTTTACAAAGCTTTTAAGTAACTTTCCCCGTGTTTAACTTCTATTTACTTCTAGGAATCAAATATCTGCTGCAATCTGCTACTTCTGCACTATAGTTATAGTTTCATTAAATTTTTATTGTAAGCTAAAGACAAAATTATGAAGTAAACAAAATTAATAAAAAAACCAACACAATGAAACCACGTTTTCTTGTATTCTTGCAACTTTTAAGTTTGACTATAAAGCCAGCAAATCACCTTCTCTCTAAGAGTAAGATAGATTTGCATTGACTAGAAAACCGATGAAAAGTTTCAGCCCCAAAAAAATGATAATTAGACACATTATCCACACATCTGCTTACATGCAACAACTTAAGAATTACGCATATTTGGATAATCAATTTAATTAGACACTTAATTAACAAAAAGTTTATCACATTAGAACTTATAGTTTATTCTGATATTTATTTCTGAAACTTATTATAACTCACTTTAAGTTTATCCAATACTCAACCTTAATGCTATGCTGCATACTAAATCAATTCCATGGAAATCACCGAGTCATTTTGTATCATGGAAGAACTCATAAAAATTAAATTTTTTAGTGTCACTGCAAATACTTTCAAGCTATATATCAATTAATGAACAAAATTAAATACGTATTGTATACGAAGTTTTAGAAAATTTTTAAGCAAATTCTTAATATTGTAAAACTTTTTCTTATATATGTACACTAATAATGTGACATTTTTTTTAGCAAACAGCAAAATCAAACATTGCTTACGGAAATTGCTGGAATGGTAAATGCCCTATGCTAGGGGACATTAAATATATTCAAATCACAGAGTGGCGATTTGGATGGAAAATGAAGGAGCTTGTGCTTATTTGTAACCTTTCTAGAAACAGAGAGAATACAAAGCCTACAAGTTTGAAACTTGTAGCATTGACAAGGTCCGTCACCCACAAATTTCTTTGCATGTCACTTTCTTCTTCTTCAGGTTATTAAATTAAATGAACAAGTTATAGTTACCCATATTGTAGCCTTGTCATTAAAAGCACAGTACCTAAATTAAAAGCCATCAAAATAGGTTAGTTCATGAGCTAGCCTTAAATATACCCTTAAGAATTAAGAGTTTGGGTTATTAAATTTTAAAATTAAATAAATTTGATTATTATTTTTTAATTCGGTTCCATCACAAGTGAGTTCACGCTGAGTTGGTCCGCCTACATTAATACCCTCCAAATAGAAAACATATAATGTTATTTTATATCAAGAAAATTTAAATGATTTTACTTTCTTTTACACATACAATTGATTAAATAATTTTGTGAGTAATTTTTACTTTTTTTTAAAAATTATTGTTTGTAAGATAAAAAATTTAAAAAGTTATTGTACATAAAAAAATTGTTAATATAGTCAATATTTAATTTTAAACTATTAGTATAATTGATATTTTTAATTTATCAGATGAATTAACGATGTTTTAAGTTTGATGTATTTAAATTTATTAAATATGTTAATTTTTTTAACACAAAGTATTAAAAAAATTAGATACGATTTTATAAATAATATATTAACATATATTTTTAAAAATATATAAAATAAATTAAAAAGTAAGCCAACCTACATAAGTTCATTATCTACATAAAACCAAGTTTAGTTTTTTTTAAGTTAAAAAAATTTAATTTTTTAAAACACAACCCATATAAACTTACTAATCACGTCCAATGACGCGAAAACAACCGATTAGCCCATATTTACAGCCCTCCTAACTTAAAATTCTATCCACCCCGTCTAACGTGGCAGGTTCGGAATTATTAGTATTTATTTCGTAAACTTTTTCATGACTCATGTTATTTGCCTACCACCTTAACATTTACAATTTTCTTGTTAAAACAAATAAAGTGAGAGGATATTAATAAGAATTCAAATTATATATATATTATTTCATTCACTTAATTACTATTCACTCACTTAATAGTAATTTTCTTATGGTTATATAAGTTTGTATAGTTTTTTTTCCCCTTCTAACAGTAAGATAAGATGCTATTGTTATATAAAATTCTTTGAATAAATTAAACATACATACACGCACAAAAAAAATTAGTTTATTATATTAAAAATGTGAATATGTAATAAATATTTTTAAATATTTAAAATTAGTTTTAATAATTAATTTTAATATTTTTTAACAAAAAATACAAGGATGTAGTAAAATAATGTACACAGAATATTATTTTCATACGAATGTTGTGTCCGTTGACTCCCTGCCAGTTTATATAAATACATATGTCATATGTATTATGATTTTTTTGTATGTGGTGTTGTATAATAAGGTATCTTCCAACTAATAATGAATTTATTAAGATTTAAAGAACTATGAAATAGATTTATCTCGTTTGATAAAACATTTTTTGTATGCATAATTGGAAATTAAACAGTTATCTACATGTTAAAAAGAGACATTTTATGTACGAAATATGCGGAACTTTATTGATATACACGTTACAATTCAAGTTTTTTATACGAAGACAAAAAAAAAAAAAAAAAAAAAAAAAAAACAGATATAGCAATTACTGAAAAATATCGAGCCTTATAGTTTATGTCATGACAATACTCTTAAAACGTAAATTTACAATGACATGGTTGTTGTGTATCGCAAGACTCTCAATAGTATAATATATAGCTTATATGGGTTATCAATAAGCTAGAATAACAGAGTTATCCGAAGGAAAAAGAGGGAGTTGTGGGAGAAAATTGAAGAAGCTGAATTGAGAAGATTTTTACTTCCAAAAAAAAAAAAACATATTAATGGAGTAGAAAATTTTGCTCCTTTTAATCGAAGGACTGCAATTTTAAAAGGAAAAAAATGCATAATTTCTTAAAATTTTCAATAAATTAGCTAGTGCTGATAAATAACACCCCTTTTAAAGAATAATTTATTTTTCTACACTCAAAGGTTTAATTACTTCCCATATCTATATGAAAAGGAAAAGATTTAACGGCATGATCCTGAAATTAAATAACGATATTAGCAATAATCATCATATGATTATGTTACCATAAATAGTTATAGGATTTGATCAAACAAATTAGAGTGAATAAAAGAAAATCAAGTAAGAGTGTTTATAGGAATTGTTTTAGGCAATTACCCTCTAAATAAGATTGTTAATTTTGCAATTAGTTTTTTTGGGTTATATATATGTCTAAATCTTGTTTTAATGTAATAGATAAGAGAAACTCTTCCATTGTTGTGTTTGTGTTTTATTTTGGTATCAAAATGTGACTTATGGTACATTGAAATCTTGATCAACAAATGGCTGACACCGGTGATAAGTTCATTAATTAAGGAATATATCGAAAAATGGTTAACAATGGCAATAAGTTTAGGTACTAAGAGAAATGTGTTTTTCTCGTATGATCTCAATTTTAATGATAATTCAAGAAACATTATCACTCAAGTTTAACTACGTGGTGAGAACTATGAGGAGTGTATTGGGTTGGGGGAGTATTTAAGTAGAAAACCTTACAATGAGTAGGACATCACAATGCAACTCCAAAACCTTAAGGTAATAAGTACATAGGTTCATCTGCTTATAAATCCCTAACTTATATTTCATTCCATGCACGACTCAATTCACACTTGATTCCAACACTTTCCATCAGGTGTGAATCCATTTATATTTCATATAAGCTCCCTCAACAACGGAATTTCTTTCATCCACAAGTATCCATGGTCTACAACACTAAAGCAACTCTTGCTCTATTCCATGTAAGTTGTCGTCCATTCAACGATACTTTTTGGGCTTCACACCCTTCACACGTGGGTGCCACTAACTCTTTGCTAGGGCCCATTTAGGGTCATCATTTCCTCTACGGTGCAATTTCACATTGACCATAGGTGCCACACCGTTAGCTTTCTTTGCCATGACTCATCCACTTGTCTGAGCCGGTCACCCGAATTGACCTAGCTTTGATATCATTGTTGGGTTAGGAGAGTATTTAAGTACAAAACCTTACAATGAGTAGGACACCAAGGCAATAAGTATATGGATTCATTTCTTTATAAATCTCTAACTTACTCATCCCATTCCACGTAAGACTCAATTCACACTTGATTTTAATAGAGTGAGCTTACCTTGCATGCTAAAAGGAAGTAAAGATTCGTTGAGAGCACGTTTGGACAACTAAAGGAAAGGATAATAAAATTGGAAAACTGGTGGACAATCCAATCCATGTTACTGTCAT